CAATCATAGCTTGCCAGCTGTCAACCAACCTAGTAGTTCGACCCGGTTGCCCATTCCGTCTCCATTCCTCTCGTCTGTCGTCATATGCAAGGCTGTGCGAGCTGCGACTTGGCTTAGTTCGCAGTCCTGAACCCTTGCGTCTCTGGGCGTGTCATAGGTTTCTATTGAAACCTAGAATACCCCGCCATTGTTGCGCTTCACCACAAGCACTTGTTTTCAACCGAGCAACTTGACCTACGGTTGAGAACAGACCAGCTGATTCAGACCGCATGGCATCCTCTGAGGTGGACCAGAAATTCCTGGGCAGGCTCGCCGAAGCTGTGGAACATGACAATCCTTTACTTTCAAACATGCTCTTCAAGATACTTGGCTTATCCCTGAGCCTAGCTAAGCAACTTGTCGCAGCAAGAAAGGAGCGCCGCCCAGACACACAGTCATCCCCAAATGCTCTGAGGCGCATCTTGCATATTCTGTGGCTCTCGCGCGAAGGCCTCGTGATGCTCGATCAATACGTCGTCCCTATGGTTGGGAACTACGTCGAGTTGAAAGTCCTTGCATACAAGCTCCGTGCCAGCTTCAATTATATCTTCGTTCTTTTTCACAACAATCCTCCGGTCTCAGATATGGCCAGCTTGACCCCAGACATGATTGCCGCCGCCGCACCGTCGTCAAGACTAGGAAGAGAAAGGGATAGGGATATGGACACCCTTCCGTCACGGTCGTCATCTATTCAACCAACACATCCCATGGAAGGTGGCCCTGTTGGCCCACCCCCTGGATTTGAAGTCAACGTGGCGCTGCTGCCTCGGTCAGCTCTATTACCGTGGAAAGATTATTTACCCACAGCGCATAATCACTTCAAAGAAGCTGTCGAGCTCGCGGAGACTCTGCTCTGGGGTTCACACTCTCTTCGACTCTCTGTCAAGACTGAGTATGCCGCCTTCTTGTACGATTGTGTTCATGATCAAGAGGCCAGTCGACAGTTGGCTAAGGCTAGCATCGCAGAAGCGTACGAGGCTGAGGAGGGAATGACGGATGATATGTTCAGTGACACGTGTGAACTTGTCACCGTGTTGGGCAAGATGATGAAGCGTGGCCTACCTGCCGGCGGGCCTCCTCGTACCAAAGGCCGTGGCGCCAGCGTGAGTTCCGGGCCGAAAGAGGGCATCCGAACAGGAATGGAAAATCCAATCTGAGCGCTGAAGTATCAGACATGACCTGACGATAAGACCGACTACAAGCGACACGACATCATCGAATATGATGATGTTCCAAAGGCGATAACCCGTGGCAAGGATGCTTCAGCCGGATACCGACACTTAAGCTTCTTAGCCGTCTCCGTCAACACAACTGGCTCGTTGACTCAAAAGGGGCTCTTGACAGCAAAACCTGAAACGAAGTTTCAGCTGAATACCGAATGTTAACATCTTGTAATATATACCGACAGTTCTGGCATCGACGAGATCTCTAGCCCTCGCCCTAGTGGATCTCAGGAAGCCCAAGGTGTCATCTTCTTTTCTGATGTGTATTTTGATACCCGTGCATTCTAATTTCATAGAGACTGGTTCATTCCAGCTCCACACTGCAGAGGTACGGCGCCGCCGTTGCCTCAGCTGGACCTTGTTTATAGAGGAGATTTGGATAGATGGGTGGAAGGGTCATTTCATTTTGCATTTTGCATTTTGTTTGTTGGCGTTATTAAAGGGCCCCAAGGCGGAGTGCTGATATTTTCACGGCGTACATTAATCAAAAGAGAGCGCTATAGTTCGTGAGCAGTGGAGTTGCATATTGTTGACATTAATTTGGTTTAGTCACCTTGGAGGTGCTCATTATTCTCTGTTAAATATACGTTTGCTCGCGCGAGTTTCAATTTCCCCTTCTATCCGATTACCTTCCACGCGCAGCAACTGGTTAACCTCGCTACCCATGACCAGCCTGTGACCGTCCCAACTAGATGTTCCATATAACGCCATTTCCGTAGCCGAAGTGTGCTAAAGCGATGTGAATCCTGATTCCTAAGTATATCCCGGCCTTACACATTGAGGGTACCGGAGCGTAACCATTGTCTTTCTTAGTGAGTGCCTTCTTCCTTCTCGCATCTTGCGCGTATCAATTCTATTGGCACTAGTCTCCCAGTTACGTTGTAGAAGTTTGCCTGCATCTCAAGGCATTTTGAGATCTTGTACTGACTCTCTACCGACGCCAAGATCTCGCAGTCTTCCTGAGAGAAGGTTTCGTCTGCTGTAGGGTACTTGTCGGGAGGGAATAGCTTTGCCCGGATGTGTCTCTGAAGATACCTCTTTTGACGACGAATCTCCCTGTCGCTCCCCGCATAGGTGAGGCTGTCCGCTTCTGATGACGAGGAGGGCGATTTCTGGTCAGCTGGGCCGTCGTCGGGCGATGCCTCGGCGGAAGCATCCTCGCCGGATAGGACGATGGTCTCCTCCGCCTGGGGGCTTGGCTTGTGCTTGGACGCTCTTTTGCCGCGCCTCTTTCTGGACTTCTTGGTCTTGCGTTCGGGTTGCTGCTGTTGTTCGACTTCAGGCTCCGATGGGTCTTCTTCTTCTTCTTCTTCTTCTTGGGAGCTGGGCTGCTGCTCCGTCTTGTCTCGTAGGATCTTCCATCGGGCTTTGATGTCTTTCTTGGACTTGTGCATGGCCTGGGCGATCTCGGTCCACGAGGGCTTGCGGTCGTCCTTCTTCATGTTGACTAGGATGACGTCCTCCGACATGGTCCAATTTGGGTCGGCGGCGGGGCTTTCGTCGCCGCTGCTCTCGGGAGCTGGCGAGTCTTGCTCTTCGGCGCTGCTTTTCTCGGGGGTTTCGTCGGTGCTCTGGGGGGTATCTGTCCCATCTGTTGTGGTCTCGTCGGTACTCTTTCGGGGGCGTCTTGATTTCTTACCCCTGCGATGAGCCCTGAGATGTCTGGACTTTCTCTTGAATCTTTCCTTCTTTGGAGGAGTGTCTGAGTATTCCCAAGTTGTCAATGATGGGGTTGTCTCATGATGAGTCGGTCGATTACAAACCGTTGCCGCTGGTGCTGGGCGAGCTGCCCTCGTTGGAAGGGCTTGACGGATCGTCTGCTGAGCTCTCAACATTGGAACTATCGGCTCCGGACTCCCCAGAGGTCTCGTCAGAGACCTCTGGTGTTGTCGTCTCTTCTTCTGAAGTCGACATATCTCTGTGCTAGGCTGGTGTAGCTACAGTTGAGATTGAAGGAAAAGCCTTGCCCGCTCTTGGTAAAATAAAGAGGGGAGAGTTTGATTTATCTCAGAATTGGAAGAAGAGAAGCCTTAGGGCCTATTCATCCGTTCCATGAGCCCAGGGTGAGGAAGAAGTGAGTGAGTGAGCACATGAATACCTCAGGCACACACCTATTCCCTATTGTCGAACAGAGAGACAATAGGAAAATCAACTCATCAATAGCTACGAAATGCTTAGTAACTACATAGAACCTGTTAACTACCTACATAAGATCACTCGATGGGGCTGCTTTGACAGACTTGTATCTGCATTTATATGTTTTAGTTGTCGTTGGTAATTGCTGATCGGCTATTGGCTGTTTGGGGACATCAGATGAAAGCTGTTCCAAGGAAGAAACTCAACGCAAACAATCATTTGATGCCATACCATGCAAATTAATTGATTGGAAAAGTTAGCATGTATCCATATGTATTATTCTAGCAACCAATGGCTCGTACAAGACGGATTCTTGGATGTTGAGCGGAATGTCGTACAGTGCAAATACTGACTTCATTGATATACTTTGCACTGTATTGTAGATGACTCGAGCCGCTTATCAAAATTCCACTCACAAGCGACATCCATCTTGTCGCAACGGTCAATCGCAGGAGGCAACAGAAATTGGTTGCTTCACTTATCCTAGATCCGAGGCATTAGTACGGCCACACCTGGCAGACACACAAAAAGGACTAGTCAACCATGACAGAGCCAGCAAAGCAAGTCGCCGAGTTGCCTTCATTGCAGCCGCAATACATCAAGGCAGTCGAGCTCATCGACCAGGCTCACGCAGAGGATCCGAACCTAATTTATGGGCCGGAAGGACCCAAGACGCTGCCGTACGAACTTCACTATGCCCGTGAGATGACGAGATGGCTGGCCAGCCGGTACCCTGGTGCATCTCCTACTCTCCAGCTCGCATGCCGGGCCCAGCACTTCAGGAGGTAAGAGGACCTAAGGATAAGACAGAAGTCGGTATAGACTGCATTCTATGAGGCTAACGCGCATACTCTTGTGTCAAGATGGGAGCTCCCACGGAGCAGTTTCCCCAGGACACGCCCGGGCTATCTGACCTGGCGCGCCAAGCAGAAATCCCAGGCCGCCGAGCAGGTGGCCGCCCTCCTCGGCTCCCCAGCCATCCAGCCCCCCATCCCGGAGGAGGAGCGCGCCCGGGTGGCGGCGCTGATCCGCAAGGAGAAGCTGAGCACGGACGAGGAGACCCAGGCGCTCGAGGACGTCGCCTGCCTCGTCTTCCTGGACGACCAGTTTGACGACTTCGAGAGCAAGGGGGGCTGTGACGAGGACAAGATCGTGGACATCCTGCGGAAGACGTGGGGGAAGATGAGCGAGCCGGGGAGGAAGCTAGCCTTAGGGATGGACTTGAGCGATAGGGCCAAGCACTTGATCGGGAGGGCTCTTGCGGGTTGATCTGGTGAGTTTTGCAGAACATGTTCAATGCAAATCTCCTCTCTTCATCCAAACGGGACTGACTGGTTCAGCTCGCATGTGATTCCGTCCATCTTCCACAAACCTCCACCTAGCTCCCTTTAACGACTTGGATTAAGATTGGTAAAGCTACTCTTTGACACTGTAAACTGACTCGCTTGCACCCCGAGCAGTCATGTCCAATCTCTCCCCGCATATGCAAGATCGGGGCGGGGAGCTCGGCTCAAGATACCCCGAAGCATGAATAAAGGTCGAGCACCACAACTCGAGACATCGTGACAAGCCCTTGGATGCTTCAATCTTCTCATTCCTATCATGACGAGCATATCAGGAAAGGCAGGGGCTTTGGTGTCGACTGGTGTCGATGACCGCCAGGCGACCAAGCCAAGCCTAGACACTCTCATCTCAACGCACGACTTCGAGCTCGTTGCCTCCAAGACCTTCTCCCCCAAGGCATGGGCCTTCGTCTCCTCAGCCGCCACAGATCTCTACACAAAGCAACGTAATGCGACGACCTTCTCTAAGATCAGGCTGCGCCCCCGCGCCCTCCGGGACGTCTCCAAGGTCGACCTTAGCACCACCATGCTCGGCCACCGCATCCGCGCCCCCCTGTTCTGCAGCCCCGTGGCCATGAGCAAGCTCGTCCACGAGGAGGGCGAGAAGGACGTCAGCCGGGCCTGCAAGACCCTGGGCATCGCGCAGTGCGTGTCCACGAGCGCCTCCTACCCCCTGGGCGAGATCGCCTCGGCCATGCGCGCCCACCCCGTCCCCAACGACGATTTCGAGGTGCCCATGTTCTTCCAGCTCTACGTCGACAGGAACCGCGAGAACTCACGGAGACTCCTCCAGAGGGCCCGCGACGCCGGCGCCAAGGCCATCTTCCTGACCATCGACGCCCCCGTCCCGGGAAAGCGCGAGGCAGACGAGCGGATACTATCCGACGAGACGCTGAGCTCGGGCATGTCGGGCGTCGGGGTCAGTAACGACGCCAGGGGCGGCGGCATCGGCCGCGTCATGGGCGGGTACATCGATGCGTCCGTGTCGTGGGGGGACATCCCCTGGCTGCGCTCCTGTGTGCCCGGCCTGCCCGTCGTTCTCAAAGGGGTGCAGACTTGCGAGGACGCAATACTGGCCTGCGATGCCGGCGTGGACGCCATCGTCGTGTCGAACCACGGCGGGCGCAGCCTCGACACCTCGTCCGAGTCTATTATGGTCCTCCTGGAGATGCACAGGAACTGCCCAGAGGTGTTTCGGACGGTGGAGGTGTATGTCGACGGGGGTATCACGCGTGGCACTGACGTCTTCAAGGCGCTCTGTCTTGGTGCTAGGGCCGTGGGGATAGGACGGGGTCAGCTGTACGGTTTGAACTACGGGCATGAAGGGGTCGCTCGCTATTTTGAAAGTAAGTGTTTTTGTTGTTGTTTCGTCTCTACCCCCTTTTCTCAAACGTCCTGCGGGTACCAAGTTGGACTGACACATCGCGATCTCACTTTTTAGTCCTACGAGATGAACTGGAAACAACGATGAAGATGTGTGGTGTTACAAGTATTGATCAATTACATCCCGGGTACTTGAATAGCCTTAGTATCGATCATGAGATTCCAACCCTAGACCCGGCGACGAAGCTTACCTTGATGAAGAGCAAGCTCTAGATCATCTCGCCCCTTGAATAGCACACAACGAGCCGTACAGATCGAAGTCGAATCGACGAGAAAACAGCGAATAAAACATAACAAACGATAGATTCATTCTTTAAATACAAATTCAATGTCATCATTGGCATGGTAGAACTGACTGAAACGCCCAGGTACACAGGTGATGTTCGGGACTACTTAGCAATTCAAAGGCACATACTATCATCTCCCTAGATGCCTGGCGATCACTACAGCCGACGAGGTAATCCAATGGGATGGCACTTAATTAGGATGCCTCCGCTACTTTCCTTCTACTTACCCTCCTAAAGACAAGAAATATCAGCACTACCAATACTCCTTGAGTTCGCAGAAAATCCCGAGCCAGTGAATTCGTAAACAGGCCGGGCCAATATAGCGGCGCGATCAAGATCTGCTCGCGTTTCGATCTGAAACTCAGACACCGCCGACAACGGCAAAGCCAAATGGTGCCTACCCCTCCTAATATTGAGAACACAACTATGTAGGTCTCGGGTTATGTAGAGAAACCTCACCAGATGTGTGATCGAAAAGGGAGGGGATCCATCTGCCTAGACATAAGCACGCTTCATAAAACCCGAAGGCAAGCCTCCTGTGTCAACATCTGCGCAACACAGTCCCAGTGACCTTGTCAATGTCACAAATTATCAGGTACCAGTCTCCCAGGACCTTGTTCCCTTCCATGATGCCACCCTTGCAAAAACAGAGCCATACGAGTTCACATGGTGGAGAAGGTAGATTGTGGAAATGAGCCTTCGACCATAGTATGATATCTTGTGTGCTTTTGGTCGTAGATCCTTGGAAAGGACCCGCCGTTTCAGCTCTCTCCAACTTCTGGCTGTTCTCTCACCTCAACCTGGGCTCTGTTTGGACATCTCGTTGAAGCAAGACATGTCCCAGATTCCAGCGATGCGCAACACGCCACAAGACTGTATCGAGGATCGATTCCACATTCATCAACCTCGTAGCACGTCGCAGGCTAGTCCTCGAAGCAGTGAGACGTGCCCCTTGGTCAGCTCAGTGTGTTGATGGAAGAAGAAAACTTGGCTTGGGAGGACTGATCCCAAGTAAAAAATGGGTCGATTGGAGAGTAGTAGGTCTCGTCTTACCCGTATTACCCATAAATGAATCCATGGGACCCTATGAGGGTGCGAATCCGCGGAGAGGAATCGGGAATACTTTCGGGCTGGCCGAATCTCGCTCTCAAGAGTTCAGTGAGAAAGTGTGGGCAGGGATATGCGCTCGGAGCTCGCTGTGCTACTTGTGCTTCCACCATCCTGGTTGAGAGACAAAACCGCCAGCTCTTTCTACTCTGTGGTAGCTTACAATAAGCCTCTCGCTTTCCAAGATTCCAATATTTCATCTCAGGGTGGCGTGTAATCAGCCCCTTCGGCTCTGTTTCTGGCTCCCACTAGATGGTGCGATGGTAGTACAAGGGGGAGAACCACACAGGAGAGACTTAGGGAGACAACAATGGCTTTGAACTAAGCCTAGACCTCGGAAGGGCGGCTCAGAATGCAGAAGGAATACTGGATAGACCCTAGTCTTATGTCGATCAGTTCTACCTTTTTTGGCTCCGTCTCGGCCAAGGAGAAAATAATCCTTGAAGGTATTTCCGTTATGCTACATCACGATGCGAAACTCCAATTGAAAGTAGAAAGCTCGGTTGCCACTAAGTACATATGTGATGTGACATGGGATGATTTCGAAACGGGATTTGTACATGTTACATGTCTCCTTTTCTCTAAACCAACTGGCACATTGTAGGTATCTAAGTAAACATTATTCACTGATGTCTTGTTCGGAAAAGTGTGTGCCTCACCATATCCTGTGTGTTTAGCTTCTTGTAGTTCAAAGCATAGGTCAGGGGTATAGATTCTATTACAAGTTTGATTATAGTCGAAGCACGGGAATCTGTACCTACTTAGCTAGAAAAGCACTCTTTCGGTCAGCAAGGTAAGCCATTTCGCGTGCGCGGCTGCTAGACTGCTCCCGAGTGGCAAATAGCTCATAGCCGGTATGGGGCTAGATAGAAAAGTAGCTGATGGTGGCCTCGAATGACCCTCTAGATTCCTTTGGGGTTAGGGGTGAGGCAGAGGGGGTAGAAGTATAGATGCTGGAGTGATTCTTGGTTTCCAAGACTTATTATGCCGGCCATTCTTGATACTTCATTTGGGTCCCACATATCGATAGTGCATTTCCAAAGACCGTATTGCTGTTATTCTGCTATGAATCAAGATCGTCCATAGGCCAGCAGGGCCCTGTTGTCATGTGGGACAAATTGCCGAATTGCTTTTTCTGCGCTCGAGCCCAAAGACCGGCCCTACCGGCCCAAGTATGGAGGTTTCTGTAAGGAAGGGGCTGCGGAGCGGCTGAACGACAGCCCTCCGCTACTCAGCATTACTTACTTACAGATATTTGCTGAATGCAGGTAATATTGTGAGGTTGGTGTGGGTGGGTGAGGCTTGGCCTGCCATCATCTAAGATCAGGAGGTGGCAACACATGTTGCGCCCAACTGATTATTTTTCTTTGCTTTGTTCCCAAAGCGCAAGGATTCAATATTTAATAGTGGCTGCGTTTGACCTTGCACGGATTTCCATGTAATACCTTGGCTTTTGTCGGGTACTGAGATTGGTCTTTGAGAGCCCCTCCACACCGATTCAGAGCATCTTTCTTTTCTTCTTCATATGACTTGAGGGTGTGAGAAACCATCCGTGGCAATAAAGAGTTCCTGTATCGTTGTCGGATGATTTTCATAACAGAGAGAGTCCGATTTGATGCTGCATAATTGTCTTGGAAATGTGGAAGTGGGAGGGTAGAGTCAAACCAGGACAGAATACCATTGAAGGCTAAGGCTGAACCCGCGTCACTGAATCTGAGAGAGGTTAGAGAAAAACCCGAAGATATAACCGGACCAATAGCTTAGCCAGAGGCTGTGAACAAGGCTGTTAGGAAAAAGAAGTAAGCCCAGAGAGCAGGGGCTGTTTCGGCTTTCTGGATGAGGATCTGGCCAAAAATAAATATGACGAACAGCGCAGGTCAGGAGCAGCAAAGCATTGCATCTCGCCAAGCAATGCAAATTCGTCAGTTCTCACTCGCTTAGGCTCCAACCCAAACTTGCTAGGTGCCTCAGCCTTGGAAAGTGGCAATGGTGGGTGACCTTGAATGTTTTCTTTTTCTTGTGTATTTTCTTTTTTTCCGGAGCTTTTTGTCAGATTGTCAGGGGATCATTTGGGGCATTGTCATTTGCATGACCCTGAGGAGTTCAGCTGAGGCTGTGAATGTGGTTCTGGAACGTTCGGGCCATGACAAATTGTCTAGACCAATCTTTCTATTGTTGACTGCCAAGTGTGGTGGTTGAAAACCGAGGATTGAAATCGTGGTCTACTTCTCCGAGAACTGGCACGAAATCAATGCTGCGATATGATGTACTCGCTCCTCGGTTGTTGACTTGATGCCGGTGGATCGGCCAGCTGCGCTATTGCACGCGCTTGTTCGATAATATGTGATGGGTCAGTTTTGCTAGCTTGCCAGTCGATAGCTACTTGCTCAATTATACACCATGGTTGGTATAATGCCTGCGGGCAGATGCAGTGATCTCCCTCTAAGATCGTGTGTAGAGAGCAACCCATGTCCCTGCCGACAACCCTTGGCACGCTGAATATTGTGTGGGAGGCGCGATTTGCAACCGGGATTTGCCAGCCGTGTAGCCAGCCTTCTTCTCCAGATACCAGCTGGCCCACAGCAATTCCGTTAACGGTCAAATTCCTCGCGCCCCTAGACCGGCGCAGGCATAGCTACGAGTTAGACCACATCATATGACGCTGGCTGGTCCCTCGTGCAAGCCAAGGGTCTAACCTGCGAGAAACGATGCCTCCCTGCGAGACGACGCACGAGGTCCGTACCGAGTGAGGAAACTGAACTACCACCCGGGAAGTTCAGGTTCGGCTGAGCAGCTACATGGTTGGTAGCTGTGGGCCTCCGGCGGCGGTGCTGAACAATCGAGACTCGGGCGCTCTGGTGGCACCCGTATGGCGGGGGTATGGAGCTTCAATAGGAATGGGTTAGGATGATGAAATAGGCTTCACCTCGCCAGCACTGGACAAAGAGTAAGCTCTGCGGGTTCAACGACGGCGATGGCCACGAGGGGGATGCACTAGAGACGCACGCTCGCATACTTGGTTCGCAAGTTGGTGATAGTCAGGGGAGGCCGAGCCAACCACACGCACAGGCTGACTTGCAGCCGCCCACCTGCTCCCGCCTGCTTGCCCGCTTCCATTGGCCTTGCTGCGTGGGACCTCGAGCTCGTCAAGGTCCCCGTTTGTGTAACTGGCACCGGGTACCTATACTTGGCCGAGTCAAGAACCAGGCATCTCCTTCCTGTCCAGACCATGAACACCGGAGAAGCAAAGCTTTGGAATAACGTATCTGGCACCGGGGGCAAAGGGGAGATCCGCCAAACAGGTAAGTGGTTTTGGGCTGCGATGGGCCGTGGACCGGGTAGGCATGTGCGGTATGTGCTTTGTTGGCAGCAAGGCGAAATGGGATCCATGAATCATACCTTGGTTTTCAGCGTGGGAACTTTGGACAGGCTCCCGCACCCTCCCACGCGCACGCGCCCGCATGGCATACGCATGGTGGCAGGTTAGTGCCTCAATGGTAAATGGGTTATCATGGAGGTCAAGTCGCCCACATCTCCCGTTGCGTGCTCAGCCTGCTGAACTATGTGCGTTAGTACCTCCGGTAGGTTCTAGCCAACCCAATCTCTCTGGGTGTACCTGCTTCACCTCGGCATGCATTGCACCTGCAGGCTGGGGACTTGCATGCCTCTACAGTCGCTCCTGCCGGGCGTAGCCTTCTCTGCAGTGGTTGGCTGGTGCTGCTTGCGCCGGGCAGGCCGTACAGCCGGCTACTATGTGCCTGCTGGCATCTACCAAAGTAACAAGGTAAATCGGAGGCAAGCAGGGAGATAAACGCCACA